TATGAACGTTTCCTCACCGATTAGCTCCGATCTATGCTTGATCGGAGACTCGATTCAAAACCGAACCTATACTAATCGCATGCAAGACTTGTTTGTTATCGATTGAGCATAAAAGAAAGAACACAAGCACTCGAGCCCAGGGCTTAGTGCCGACCCCAAACTCACCGGTGATAACCTCACCGGGATCCACTAGATCTCGACGGAAAAAATCATTGGAACAGTACAACTCTCTCTCTCTAACAAACTGACTTCTTTTACAAATGAAACGATAAGTCAAAAAAAGGAAGAGACCCTTGACCTTATCAACGCTTTTTGGTCAAGGCTGTACACATGTCAACATCAGAGAAACCCTCTGATTCATCTAGTGGATCTTATCTTGAGAAACCCTCTCAATGCAAGAGAGTCTCTCCCACACTTAGCTTATTCTTCAATTTCCAGCATGTGTGTTTAACTTTCCTTGAAGCCTTCATAAACTTGNGCTTCTCCAATCTTCTTGAGCTAAATCTATAGTTGTCTTGTCTTGATCTGTGACTATATTCTTCAATGGTTTTAGAACTAAAATTTCCTACTATATTTCTATTACAAGTAGGAATATTATTTCTTATTATAGTTGGATTTGGTTGTGAAAGAATTTTAATCTTAACAAAACAAGTTTTTATTATGATTTTATTATGATAAAATAATTTATTGTAGCACTCTATTAGAGAAGGAAATTATTCTAAACAAAATCATGAATGTCTATGACATTAGAACCTAAAAGTGTTTAGTCTAGCGACTTAAGTATGACTTTTCTTTGGCATTTTCATTGGCACCATATCCTCTATATATTAATAAATGAGACACTAGGTGAAAATTCTAAATGTCATCCTAAGAGAGTTTCAAAAAACGTTTAACAAATATGGAAGTAACAAATATATGGTAATTAATATGGAATATTTTATTTTAAAAATATAGAGTATTTGTGAGAATATCTTATTTTGTTTTTAGTAATACTAGATTTTTTGATCCTCGTCAAACGCGAGATTAGAATATTC